TCAAATTCCTTAGTGCTTGTACAAACATCGTGATAGTTTACTTACATTTGCAGAATAAACAGTTGTTTCACAATGTTTGTATTACACAGTAAGAAGAGGTGTAATACACAGTAAGAAGAGGTGTAAAAGGCTTTAATCATTCATTTTGTTTGGTCTGTCACACAGCTTATTGCCAATGGAACACTGTCACACCCACCACAGGTATGAAAACCTTTTAACCTATATGGCTAGGTTATATGTGAAAGATTAAAACACATCAGTTGCTGAAATGGTTTAAAACCCTCCCATGTTTCTCAGACTGGGCCTCATGCCGATACAACTGTGGCTCGAACCTGGGAAGCTGTTCCTGCTCAAGCTCTTGTCAATACAATGGGAACTGCTGTTATGACTATTACAGTAAGAATCAGTGCTCGGCAGAGAAGCTGCTGCACATTAGGATCATAGTTTCTGCCAAAAAGCATCTTGCATCACATGGAAATGCATACAATCGCTGTCCAAACCTCGATACTCAAACTAATGTTCTTTTACTGTTTTCAAACAGCCTACTGCGCAGCCACAACCGACATCACAACCTCAGGTAGGCTCCTCACTGTGCAATACGAGTTTTCTGCAAATATATCTCATTGCAATGACACTTGTGCCATTGTATCCAACTTTAGCAAGGCCCTGTGGAGGCTCGCTGGTCGGCTCTGGCAACTTTGCCAGCCCAAACCACCCTGGATACTACTACGACAATGCCTACTGTGTGTGGTACCTCAAAGCTACAACAGACCAGAGAATCTCCCTGGTATTCACATACCTGCAGTGAGTGCAGAGCAGACTGCTTTTTGGAGATCATTATATGGGCAGCATTGTTACAGATGGAGGAATATGATGACAAAAATAAATCAGGATCATAAAGATCTCAAAAATATGAATTTGTGAAAAAACCTACTAAATATAAATTGATGCTCTAAACTGATAAAGGACACACAGGGGCTGCTTTTTGAGTTTTGCTTCACTAAGTCAATCATAATCAAATCTTTAAAAACAGACTGGAGAACTGCTGCAGCTGTGACTACATTTCAGTCTACAACGGGCCGTCTACTAGTTCACAGTTTCTGGGGAAAGTGTGCAACGGCAGTT